CGTGCTTCTCACTGTGAAAATCACAGTGAGAAGACGCCAGCGTCCATAGGAAAGCATTATGAATGCTTTCCTATGAGACTGGCTGAATGCGCGCGCAGCTCCTGCCGCGCGTGCGCATTCAGCAGAAGAGGAGGAGAGGAGGCGGAGAGGAGGAGGAGAGCTCCCCGCCCGGCGCTGGAGAAAGGTAAGTGTTTAACCCCTTCCTCTCCCCAGAGCCCGGCGGGAGGGGGGACTCCATAGCGCACAATGGAGATTATGCATAAGAGTGTTTCAGGAAAACTAGTATGTTTTCCTGGCACTATAGTGGTCCTTTAATTAAAATTTTCTTTAAATTCAAGATCTTGAATTTCACTTGCCTGGAAAATGGACAAGGATGCCGGAGGTAGGAGTATGTTAGACGGCATGGATGCACACCATGTTGACCGCAAGTGTGGCCGGTCCCATTCAGGGCAGCAAATACGCCGATGACTTTTGAAGCACTCTAAGCATGGGCTTAATGCTCTGACAGAATTTTGCATAGCACACAAGTTTCTTACGATGCACGCACTCTATCCTGATTGGGGACATTCCTAATGTCCCTAAATGCAGGACACCACGCAACTAACCCATGACAGCTTGATGGCACCTCAAATATAGGGACAATGCAACTAAACAGGGACAGTTAAAAGGCATGATAAAAGTTAAAACTTCATAAACTGTTTTTGTGCTCCTGTAATCTCGTAACTGTATTTATTTAACAATAACAAAGTAGAAAAACCCTAGGATAAATATTTACATTTTCTTTTACAGGCAACCGGGCAGCCATATGAGCAATATGCAAAGATGATTTTTATGGAGCTGAATGACGCCTGGTCAGAATTCGATAATCAAGGCCAGAAGCCGCTATATTAATTGCAAGTTCTCAGACAGGCTTCGAATCTACTCTCACAGCTTCCATCTCCAGAACATGAGAAAAAAAAAGAGAGAAAAAAAAGCTGGGGTTTTCGGTTTACTTTTTGTTCTTTTTACTCTCAATGCAGTCTTATTTCTCTTAATATAAGAGGAGACACAACATATCACATTTTTGGACATGTTAATAGGGCAAGAAGAATTGATACAGTAATTGTATGAAAATTCCTCGGTTCTTGTCTGCCTAATAATGATCTTTTTCAATTGTATGATACTAATGGAAAATCCCTGCTGCTCCCCCCAACCTTATTTATTTTATTTATTTATTTTATTTATTTATTTTATCAGAATCATCTGAACTAAGATACTCAGTTACAGCACCAGGGTAGTAGAGGTAAACAGACGTAAATAGTGGTATTTATTCACTAATAGTCAAAGCAACCCGGAGAAAGTCTCGAGCAGTGCTTAGGGGGGAACTGACTCTTCATCAACCTTCCCTGAGCTGAGTCTCAGGAACTCAAATCAGGGAATTCCATTTTTCATAATCTCACCACATTTCGCTTTTGCCAGAGACCACGATTTTTCTCCAAATCGCCAGGTAGAGATTCTTAAAACCCAGGAAAACGCACAATTTCCCATCTTGGGTTAGTATGGGTAGACAATAGACCCCATTGTTGAGTGTGTTTTTTTTTTTTTTTAATAGAGAGCTACATCTATGGCTATGAGCACTAAGTAGTGCTTGTTGTGTCTGCTGTTTGATTGAATGCCCTTTGAATTATCCTTACAACTACCAATTAACTAAACCGGGACAGAGTTAGGCTATTATCACTCTGCATGCCAGAGAGGGTTTGGGAAAGTTACACCAAAGTTAGGGAAAGCTCCCTTCTTTAACTGTTGTTAAATGGCATGGATATGCAGATTACAGACTACAACTCCTATCATCCTCTTGGGAAGCCAGTTCTGAGTTTAACAGCTGGAATTCTTACAGCATCCCTTCCACTCCAGCCAGTGTATGTCAATAACTGGAGGATTTATCTGACTCGAGTGCTGTGGTTTTGCACACTTACCTGGCACTGTACATCATCTATAGGGTTACTCCTGCTTTAACACAGGTAGTCAGGGGAAGCCATTGGCTTGGCTAGATTTATAGGTTTATGTATTTTTTTTTTATCTTTGAAAAAGGAGAACATTTTTTTAAAAAAATATTTATAATGGAGATTATGCATAAGAGTGTTTCAATGAGAAAATTAGAGCAAGTGTATCAAAATGAATGTCTGAATTTATGTGCAAAACGATTTATAATTTGATCCCTGCCAGCTATGGCAAAAAATAGAATTTGGATCAAATTATTATTTATTTTGTCACAAAATCAGCAATTTTTAAATCACTTTATTGGACTAAGGTTCTCTGCCATCCTGTATTTGGCGTTATCTGCACCGTAAGAAAAGTCGCTGATAAAAGAATGAAAAGCCACATATTTGTGAATAAAAAGTTGCAAATGTATCTCTTTTTGTTCTCACATATTAAGATTTTTTTTTACATCTTTTTACATATCTTAAAGACGTAGAATGTAAAATATGACCAGATAATTCCTTGTGTTACAAAATTACACTGTTATTTATACATAACTTTACAATATTTTAGTTCTGGGTCAATCTTTTATATTGTGCATGTCTGGGTCAGTCATTTATAATCACACAGAATAAGAGTTTAAAAACAGACATTGCTTTGCTCCAAAAATTTAAATGTTTTCCAGGATGCATATAAAAAGCTTTACTGCCCTCCAGTGCTCCAGAGAGGACTCAGTATAACACATTGCAATACATTTCCTCTCTGTGGATTGTAGATGCTGTCTCTACGTTGCTGTAATTTTTTCTTCTGCAATTAAAGTTGTATTTATATATCATAGCTCTGTAACAAGTTAACCCTTGCTAACTACGCTGTTACTGTGTGGGGAAACCTGAGCTTGGTAAATTGTAATACATACTATGCAGTTGATAAAATAATACAGGTATTGATGAGACTTTATGCGAATGTTGACAAGATTAGTCCAACATAGCTGAGTGTTTACAATTAGCTGAGGTTGGGAATTTTTCTAACTTACTTGTGCCTGCAATTTGCAGTTCCCTTCTAAATTCTTCACAGTTACTGGTTTAGTGGAAAGCCCAGTGTCTTTTCAATGGATTAAGAGAAATTAAACTGTTACACAGAGTTCAGAAGGTAATCTGAATTCTATCAATTTATTGCAATAGTAACCGTCTCAACATTAATGAATAAATCATAGACTATAATACATTGGTGACTTGTCTGACATTTCATTTACATGTCATTATCCTTTCCTCCTGAATCCATCAGTTTCCTTTGCCAATTTTACAATTATTGTCTGTGATTCATTTAGATATTGTATCCCAACCAGAATCCGAACTAACAACAAATCTATAGCTGGCCCTTAAAAAAGAAAAAAAAAGACACAAATAGAAGTGTTACCTATGCATGCTCCTAACGAGCTTTCCTTACACTTGGCAGTAGCGTTTATACCCTATATAGGGATGCCATATTATCACGATATCCTGGACACATATCATTTACACAAATTGATGTGTACTGCATGAAAAGTGCTGCCTTGCAGTATGTAGAATTCAGAGGCTGCAAGAGGAAAATCAAGATCAAAATATTTAATCATTTTTTCACGAGATGCCGTCAACATGAAGATGTGATCTGTGTCCAGGAAACAACCTGAACTATACAACGAGGCAGTGGAAATAGAAACTTCAATCACTTTATGTGTATACAAGAGATTGGGACAATGCACAGGTAGCTGATTTCTACAATGCCAGGGTTATTCAGTGAATTTAGAATTTTAGAGAATTTTCCAGTTATTTACAAATTTCAGGCCATTTTGGCCTACACCTTTCCCTGGTCAATTCCTGGTCAATGAGTAACCGTGCGGGGTTTATTCTCGAAACAGTGAATTGTAGAGCATTGAAAACCACAACTGCCAAAACACCTGGTTTGAGAAATGCTCCAATCCAGTTACAGTCGTAGTGTAGCCATTTAAACCAGAAATTTGCATATAACAGCTCGGTGTTTAACCCCTTAAGGACACATGACATGTGTGACATGTCGTGATTCCCTTTTATTCCAGAAGTTTGGTCTTTAAGGGGTTAATGCCAAGGAATAATGGGGATTTGACAGAATATGTTTTGTGTTTTTTTTAAACATATTATGCACATCTCATTTAAACTTTGGGATTTACTTACTACAGCGTATGTTTTGGTGTGCTGACAACTGAATCTAGGCGGAGATTGGAGATTTGTTTAGTCCAAATTGGCTATTTTGGCCCTAAATTTTGACCGTCATTTTCGTGTCCCTACACCTTGGTGTTTTGTTTCATTTGTGATCTCCGGCAGAGAAATGTTATGTTGTCTGTTGATTTTTTTTAATGCAAAACTTTATCCAAAAAAATAAATGAAAAAATTAAATAAAAATAGACCAGAATATAATGTAGGGTTTGGTAATATCATGAAAAAATGGGGGGAAAGGAGATATCGAATAAATCATTTGCTTGTCATATTACCTTGGAATGTGAAACATTTCCCTGTGATTGGTTAACTGTTACCCATCTCTGTTTGTAGAAATTATTGTGTGTATGACACTTACCTAATGAACCTATGGATGTAAGTACTGTATGCTTTAACCCCTGGTTAGGCAGTTAGCTTGATATCCTGGTTTTAGCAATGTGTAAGATTCTTACTTGCATTTATTTTCCAATCCTAAACTATATCTATCATTTACCCTTTTTGTGCCTGAGGAGCGTGCAAGGCATGGCAGGACATTGTGTTTTGCTCCCCTTTGGCACTTTATGGGTTTTCCATATACAAATATCTGCAAATCAATTCAGTGTTTTTATTTTCATGCTTGTCTGTGGTTTAAAGCAATTAAACATGCATTTCTTTTGTATTAAAAAAAAAAAACGTGAAAACAACAGCTGTTGCCTTTCTGTGTATTCATGATTAATGTAGATATATGATGTTCTAATAGGCAGCCATAGCTGGACTTACCAGATCCACATTTGTTTTTGTTTTTAATTTTTTTATTTTTTATTGGGCACAGTCAATTATTCATGCTGTGATACATGGAAATGCTGCCCTGAGGTGGTGTGACATCAGTTCATTAGTCAACAATTCATTAATTAGAGAATTGGCTTAGCTCATGTACTATTTGAATATCACATGATAAGTCAGAGCTCTTCATCCACGCTCTGCATGGAGACGCTGAACTTTCCTCATAGAGATGCATTGATTCAATACATCTCTATGAGGAGGTCCTGACTGGCCAAAACGGTATTTGGCCCTGCCCCATGCTGATTTTAGCCAATCCAGTGCTTTTAAAGGACCACTATAGTGCCAACATACTTGTTTTCCTGGCACTATAGTGCCCTGAGGATGCCCCCACCCTCAGGGTCCCCCTCCCGCCGGGCTCTGGGGAGAGGAAAGGGGTTAAAACGTACCTTTCTCCAGCGCCGGGCGAGGAGCTCTCCGCCTCCGATCCTCCTCCTCTCCTCCCTTTCGGCTGAATGCGCAATGCTTTGCTATGGAAGCTGAAGTGGTCTGGGTGCCTAGAGTGGTCCTTTAATTGGCTAAAAATCGGCCATTTCGATGATGTCACAAAGGGGGAGGAGCCAGCACCGGCAGACCAGTGCGGTGCTGGAAATAAGGTGAGTTTTATACTTTTTTTAGGGGGCTAAGGGGAGGCAAGCCACCTATATTTAGCACTATACGGTCAGGAATACATGTTTGTGTTCCTGACCCTATAGTGATCCTTTAAACCAACATTCATCTGCCTCTGTGTATGCGTATCACATTATACAGGATTTTTTGGAATGAGCATTAAAGGAAACTGTACTTACTATAACAACTTCATCTAAGCATGCTTATGCCTCCCCCTCCCCCCCCCTCATTTTACAAAATATCTTTACCAGTAGGTCATGGGTGTAGACAGAGAGGTAGACAGTAATCTGTCCACCCCACATTACTTAATTCTCCCACTGGATGCACATAATTGGGGGCACAAAAGGGATTATGCCCCCTCGTTAATTCACAGGTCCCATCCTTATGGGCTCTTTCTAGCGACTGGGCAGCAATGGCTGCCCAGTCACTAGTTTTAAATGTTTAGTAGATATGCCATACGACAGGTGGAAGCATAGGATGCTTTAAAACCTCCCTTACAGTAATATGGGGGTGTTGTTGACCCCCATAGGCTTCCCCCCCCCCAATAATTAACCCTTAGTGCCTCAGAGATTTTAACTATTTTTGCAAGGGATCCTGTAGCTAAGGCGCACATTAAAGGAACACTATAGTCACATAAACAACTTTAACTTAATGAAGCAGTTTTGGTGTATAGATCATGCCTCTCAGGTGACACCACTCAATTCACTGCCATTTAGGAGTTAAATCACTTTGTTTCTGTTTATGCAGCCCATCTCACACCTCCATTGACTCTGATTGACACAGCCTGCATTAAAAAAACTGGTTTCACTTTCAAACAGATGTAATTTACCTTAAACAATTGTATCTCTTTCTCTGTAAATTGAACTTTAAATCACATACAAGAGGCTCTTGTAGGGTCTAGCAAGCTATTAACATAACAGGGGATAAGAAAATCTAAATTAAAGAGAACTTCCAATAAAGGAAGGATAAGCTGTAGATTACTCTTTACAGGAAGTGTTTAGGAAGGCTATGCAAGTGACATGGAGGGAGGTGTGACTAAGGTTCATAAACAAAGTGATTTAACTTCTAAATGGCAGCGAATTGAGCAGTGAGACTGCAGGGGCATGATATATACAGCAAAACTGCTTCATTAAGCTAAAGTTGTTTTGGTGACTATAGTGTCCCTTTAACTGTTTTAAACTACTACAATACCCAAATCCAGTATAAACGTTTTTATTTTGCTGTATAAAATCTAGTCTATTAGCCTCACTCACCCTCGTTTATACTGTAGTTTTGGTTAGCAGCCTGAAGAGAAACAGCTATCTATATCAGAAGTCACTGATATAATGAATGTAAAGTTGCTGTCACCTGCTTTCAAACAGTATGAAAAGTTTCATTGGGTCATGGCATTCTTACAGTCAAGGAGGGGGAGGAGTGAATGGACTGTTAAGCATAGCATTACCATTTAATAGATTGATGAAGTTTAAATAACTCTATTTTACAAATAATGATTTAGCTGTATTTACTGTATGTTGGCATTATGTATAAATGCAGACATTTATTTTACATTCTTTTGCCATTGTCTGTAAGCTGTACTGCTATAATGCATGCAGGGTCCTTAAATACCTAAAAGCAATATATTTGACAATTTTATTTTTATATATATTTTTTTACACCTACTGTAAATGAGAAAAATTAAATTTTTGCTTTTATATCAACATATCAGACCTTGTATACCGTCTGTAGCTTTTTTTTTTTTTTTAATTCTTTATTTTTACTGTGCATAGTGTTACATACATGCTTGTTCCGCCCCAAAAGCAAGTAACAAGCCAGAGAATTCACAAAGCATACAATCACTTTTAGGACATCGATATAACCTGCACATTTTTATGAGGGTTAAGAAACAGGTGTTAACTTTTGGAAGAATCGACTGCGTTATTTTTAGTTTATAGCTCAGTAGATTAATTATGTTATGTCAAATTGCGGAGACATCATAGAGGCATACACTCTGTTAACTGTGAGCTATGCTGAGTATAATGCATATAGTGGGAAACAGCTTGACCTCACCTGATGATAGATACAGCAATTCTGGGTTAAGTTTCTGGGAAAGCCCTTACAGGTACTTATCGCTACTTTGCCATCTCGAGTATAAAAGGGTAGACTTAAGTGCAGGAGATTAGTCTCGTGGGCCAGTGCAAAGAGTATGAACTAAGCAGCGTGCTTTTTGTTTTGAACAGGATTAGGGAAGGAGATTGGGAGAGCCGTGTAGTACATTAAGACAGGGTGTTATTTTAAGCCGCTTTCCCTTTGCACTAAATGTGTCACGTGAAACAGCCCTAGAGGTCACCCTCAACATATAGGCAATAATCCCCCACCCCACAGCGGCACAGACAATTACTGCCCCCCAACGCGCAGCGTCCATGTTCGTCGAGCAAACCCATCTCAGTCCGGAGTGGTATGTGTCTCGAGGTTGTGCCGAAGGAATCATGTTAGACAAACGTGGTGAAGTCTCTGAGGGTATGCGACAAGTATGTTATGAGAAGCGCGATTGGTACTTTATGAGTAGTGGATATCGTTTCACACGCTAGCTAGACAATGCTTAGTTAGGACCACTGGAGCTAAGCATATCGCTGTTAGTTAACATAGGTCTGTGGGCGAAGCTGGTAGGACAGGCAACATCGTCGCAGTGTAGAGTAAGGGGTACCGGGCTTTAGGCGGCAAGAGTGGAACTTAAGCCTGCGGTCTCTTGTAGAGCCCGTGTAATGTTGAGCTGCAATTGTCTCTGTACTGGTGGAGAGGATGGAGTCACTTAAGGCTTGTAGGCTAAGACAAGGAGACACATCAGTCCAGCTCAGTGCTCGGTGGCAGGGATCAACACGCATTTACAGGAGTCTCTGGTGCTCATCTAGATGGTGGTAGAGTTGTTCCTCCTGGGCCGGGACTGTAGCCGAGTGCAGGCTGGTTGTTGCTCGGGAAGGGCGCCCGGGTAAGACGCCGTACGGCATGAGAGCACAGCTCCCCCAGGGGCCGTCAGTTGCGAACAGATTGTTCAGGAATTCTTCCAGCTCCACTCTCTCTCTGGCTGTGGTAAGAGGTGTCTTCGTCCCCGGGCTTACCCTAAGCCAGCTGGTTGATCCCCTCCGCGATCAGCTCCGTCATGTCAGCAAGTCGCTCGCATGGTGGCCATCTTGAGGGGTGCTGCTCTGTATGTGTTCCACTGCAGGCTGGTTGTTGCTCGGGAAGGGCGCCCGGGTAAGACGCCGTGCGGCATGAGAGCACGGCTCCCCCCAGGGGCCGTCAGTTGCGGACAGAGTGTTCAGGAATTCTTCCAGCTCCACTCTCTCTCTGGCTGTGGTAAGAGGTGTCTTTGTCCCCGGGCTTACCCTAAGCCAGCTGGTTGATCCCCTCCGCGATCAGCTCCGTCATGTCAGCAAGTCGCTCGCATGGCGGCCATCTTGAGTAGTGCTGCTCTGTATGTGTTCCACCGCAGGGTGGTTGCTGTAAGCCCAGATTGGCGCATTAGTGGCTATCCGTGCAGACCGGGATGACCCGCGCAGTCCAGACGGGAGGAGGCAGCCAGACGCCGGCTGGAGACCCGGGAGAGTGGCCATCTCGTCCCGGCTTAAGTTCCTGCACACTCCGGGCCCTTGTCGGGTTACTGTTGGTGCCAGGTAGGGTCTTGGGGGTATCCCCATGTGCCCCAGCAGGTGGGGTTCAAGTTGGTCACCGGTGTGGATTGCTGGTTAGGTTTTGGCCCCCAGTTAGTGCCGATTTTTCGGCCCTGAAGCGGGAACTCAGACAGAGCACGTCTGATCCCGCCGGCGGTCAGGCCCCGCACCCCCCGTCTGTAGGTTTTATTTTGCCAAATATTTATTTTATAAAGGATGATCGAATAAATGAAAAATAAAAATTTGCCAGCAAATTAATTTATACACCAATTTGCTGTGCTACGATATGCTAATATGCTATCATTTTTAAATAAATGTTAAGCTAATACTTTTTTTTTTCTTCAATCAAGAAGTGCTTGGTAGTGAAGGAATTAAATGAAATTATCACAAACAACTCTGAATATATTTTTTTGCCTTTATTGTAATACACTACTAAATGCTGCTATTGTTACACTTATTTTTTGTTCTGATCGTCTACGAACTCTGCCAGTCTTCTTTTTTTTCTCGGTTTCTTTTTCCTGGACAGCCCGCAACCGTCGGGAGCACAATATGATGAAGACAGTTGGAATTCTGGCAATCCCTGAAGTCTTAAGAAGTCATATCTCCAATCAGAAAGTGGATAATTATTATTAATTTTAGGTAATTCTCTGTATTGCACATTTTTATCACAGCTTGTAATACTTGGCAGCAATGAGAATCTCTCATTCCTGTCCCAGATGTCTGCATCTATTTTCCGGTACGGTAGTTTATATTTAACATCTAGATTTGGAAATCTAGTTATTTTTGGCAATAAGTGGTATCGCTTTAAAATATCAGTTATCATGGTATTTATGGCTTCATTTCTTGACATAGTTGCGTACCAGAGAATTGTTCGATTACTCTTGTCCTTATGAGACAAACCATAGTCTAAAGCATCCAAATATAGTTTAACCAAATCTTCTCTTTCGTACATGATAGCGTACATTAAAGCATTGCGGCCCTCTTGGTCACAATGACCAACTTTTGCTCCAAAATTTAACAGAATTCTTGCAGCTCCTACAGCCCACTTCTCTCCATTATGAAGGCAGCATACCATTAGTGGCGTTCTGTTCTCACTGTCCCTGCCGTTCACTTCACCTCCATCTTCTACAAGCTTTCTCAGTCGCTTGTAATCTCCTTTCATCACAGCTATATTAACGTCCATTTTCATGGTCAGAGAATGTCAGTAAGTATTATTTGTACTTCAGTGGTCCTGAAACATATTTGGCTGTGAGGGACCAGGTTACTTGCTTTTGTAGAGACTCTGATTGTTCACTCATGACATGAAATCATCCATCACATGACATCATCCGATTACATCATAGCAGAGGATACCCAAGCAGGTTTACTGCAACTGAAGACATAGTATAAACATGGCAGGATTTCCAGTTACAAAAATAGGCAGCTCCAGAATATATAAATGAATAATATAGAGTTTACAGGACACACTGTGAGACACGCATTTTATTTTATTGGCATTAGCCTGAAATGCTCAGGGTATGGGGGGCTCCTTAAAAGGTTGCTCTGGGCACCATAATGGGTTTGGAACAATGAGTACAATTGGTTGCAGGTGTAAGCTCTTCTAAGGATTTTACTAGGTCACCAATTATCATTCGTAGAGAAAGTGTGTCAGCTTGATAGCTCTGATTCAAAGTGTCCTGAAGTCATGCACTAACCTTCTTCAGGAGTACACAGCAAGGTATATCATCTTATAGAGACATGCATCACCTGACAACTTCACGCTTGTTAAATGTATAATTCACGCCTAGAATATCCACATCATGCACCTTTTACTATTATTGCTATACAGTATAACTCATCCACAGATGTTGCCATAAGAAGCCACTGGACGGGTTAATGGCGTCACAAAGACCATGGCGGAAGTTTTGAAATACATCTAATTCATGTATGAAATTAAGCTGTGGAGCTTCACTGGAGATCCACTTTCAGGTTTCTATGACTGGATAGGTGGCCACTACACTTACTCCATCATTCATCATTAAAAGAACATTTCATGTACCATAACAACTACAGCAGTCTGTAATGGATATAATGTCAGAAGTGCCCTAACAACTCACCTGCGCCCCCTGGGTGCCAGCCAACAACTCACCTGCTGCCAGATGCACTGCTATTGAGCCGCCATGCAGAGCATCAGCTGATTTTTCAGTCAAAGAGCTTGCTCTCCAATGCAGTGCTTAGCTCAGTGAAGCTAGTGGAAGCTCCCTGCAGGATCTTTAGGGATGAGGGAAGGGGTGCCCAACAGAACTGAGATGTGAAAATATTTTTTAATAATTTGAAAAATTTCTCTGAGAGGGTGCCAGGGCACTCCTAGCACCATAACCACTACGGAGGGCGGTAATGGTTATGGTTCTTGCAATATTTCTTTAAAGGGATATTCCAAGCACCATAACCACTACAGAGGGCGGTAATGGTTATGGTTCTTGCAATATTCCTTTAAAGGGATATTCCAAGCACCATAACAAAATATGGTCCTTGCAGCGATCCTAATGCTAGATAATTACCTGCTTTTGTCTCGCTCCCCTGGTTATAAATCCCTCGTTCTAATACTTAGTTCTTAGACACAAAGTCCCTACCTTCAACCTATAACTCGATTCAAAAAATATATAAATGGTGTAAAATAGTGAAAGACAAAAAATACTTCCCCAATTGCTTCCATTCCTCAACTATCTAATTTCCTGCATTCCCCAGCTTCCGCATTCCCACCATCCCTAGCTTCCTCATTGCCTCCATTCCACTGCCTAATTTCTCTCCTCTTCCTTATTTACAATTCTGTTGGGTAGCCACAGCAATGGCATTCGAAACTTCCATTTTCCACCCCTGGAATTATATAAGACTGCCAGTTTTACGAGGGCAAATAATGTATGCCTAAAAATTGTCTGAAAACGTACAATGCTATATACTTAAGAATACAGACAACTAGTTTGAGACCAAACATGACATATTTCATACATAATGCCCCAAAACTAAAATAACATCTAAAATTTATCCCAAACTTTAAAAGGATCAATTAGACCGCCATGGATGCTTGCTTCCTCATTCCATTAGCTCCTCCCCTACAGACATAGAACCAACGTCTTAGGGAACTCCAGCTCCTCCATAGATCTCAGATCAGTCTCTTCCGGGGAAAAAGTGGATGGCTTGCATAGGCTGCAGTTCATAAAAAAAAAAAATTAAAAAAAAATCAGCCTGGAGTAGTCCTTTAACTGAGTGACGCTTTATTGAACTTACAATATACATTATAAGTGTTGTCTCAACTCTGACATCCTATCTCATAAGCTTTCTATGGTTATACATATAACTCAAAGGCCAGTAGTAAAATTCCTTTACATTGTTTGGTCTGCAACCAGGAAATTAAAGGCTATATTATTTCTGCTACAAACAAAATTCAACCCATTGCTTCACAGGCACACCAAATTAACCTTTGCAGTGCCATAATTAAATCATACCACCTCTATTGGGTAACCATTCCATGCATCCACTACACACATCACATTAATTAACCATAGTTCGGCAATGGAACAGTGAATACACATTAATTGACAATATATTTACTAGGAATAATGCATCATACTGCAAGGGGAAGTGAGGTGGCTACAAAAACATGGTGGGTCACCTGGCAACCCAACCATGGTTCTGAAAGGGGGAGAAATGGACCAAAATTATATGTGGATATCAAAATATGGGTGCAGATGTCCAGGGAATGATGGGAACCAGCATTCATCTAATTTATTTGCCCCAGATGTCTAAAGTGTGTGTGTCACATTGCGCAGGTTCCTTAGAGTGTACATGAACCTTTGAGCATTCTATTCTTTTCAAGATCCCAAAGGGAAACTGATCGCATAGCCAACTGCTATTATCTCGCCATGAGCCAGTGATGGCTGTGGGAAGTGACAAAACTTGGCGATGCTAGTCTGTCTTTGTCAAATTTTGCCATATGGAGGATTTACCATAATATAGAGTAGTCCCTTATTTGTTTTATGATATATTTTGACTGTATTTGAATTTCCATGAAGTTCCAGCACAGCCTTTATGAGCATTCCATAAAAATGTATCTATATTAAAGGCTCAAATATATTGGGGTGGAGGGGTGTGACACAGCCGCTTTAAACCCTCTCTTTTAGAAAGCTTTGCATGCGCACATCACGCGTGCCCCTTCTCTGTAAGAGGTTACTGTGCAATTTAATTTTGTTTTTTTGCATACGTGTTTACAAATCCCTTCCACCTTGTAATGTCTATATGCTGCAAATGTTTTTAAGAAGGATATTAAAAGAGGATATGAACTTGGAAAAAGTGCAGAGGTCGTTTGGAAAATACAGGGAACTGAAGATTTTATTTATTAAGAAACACAAATAAATATGATTTTGCGTACTAAAGTTAGTCTACCTATGCATGTGCCAGTGTTTGCCAAATTGTTTTTCAATGGTGTAAGTTCTAGAGCAGTGACATTTTTTTCCCTTTAAGTGCAAACTTTTTAGGGCAAAATAAATTAGTGAGCACGAGCCAGTGAGGGTCTCAATAAGTGAGCACGAGCCAGTGAGGGTCACAATAAGTGAGCATCAGACAGTGGGGGTCACATCACAGTGAGTGAGGAGCAGTCAGTGAGGGTCACAGTGAGTGAGGGTCACAGTGAGTGAGCATCAGTCTGTGAGGGTAACAGTAAGTGAGCATCAGTCTGTGAGGGTCACAGTAAGTGAGCATGAGCCAGTGAGGGTCACAATAAGTGAGCATCAGCCAGTGAGGGTCACATCACAGTGAGTGAGGAGCAGTCAGTGAGGGTCACAGTGAGTGAGGGTCACAGTGAGTGAGCATCAGTCTGTGAGCATCAGTCTGTGAGGGTCACAGTAAGTGAGCAGCAGTCTGTGAGGGTCACAGTAAGTGAGCAGCAGTCTGTGAGGGTCACACTAAGTGAGCACAAGTTAGCGAGTGTCACAGCCAGTGAGGGTCACAATAAGTGAGCAACAGTCCATGGGGGTCACAATAAGTGAGCACCAGTTAGTGAGTGTCACAATAAGTGGGGGTCACAATAAGTGAGCAACAGTCCATGGGGGTCACAATAAGTGAGCACCAGTCAGTGAGGGTCACAATAACTGAGCACCAGTCCGTGAGGGTCACAGTAGTGAGCACCAGTCCGTGAGGGTCACAGTAAGTGAGCAACAGTCAGTGAGGGTCACAGTAACTGAGCACCAGTGCGTGGGGGTCACAGTAAGTGAGCAGCAGTCCGTGAGGGTCACAGTAAGTGAGCAACAGTCAGTGAGGGTCACAGTAACTGAGCACCAGTCCGTGAGGGTCACAGTAGTGAGCACCAGTCCGTGAGGGTCACAGTAGTGAGCAGCAGTCCGTGAGGGTCACAGTAAGTGAGCAACAGTCAGTGAGGGTCACAGTAACTGAGCACCAGTCCGTGAGGGTCACAGTAAGTGAGCAGCAGTCCGTGAGGGTCACAGTAAGTGAGCAACAGTCAGTGAGGGTCACAGTAAGTGAGCAGCAGTCCGTGAGGGTCACAGTAAGTGAGCAGCAGTCAGTGAGGGTCACAGTAAGTGAGCAACAGTCAGTGAGGGTCACAGTAAGTGAGCACCAGTCCGTGAGGGTCACAGTAAGTGAGCAGCAGTCAGTGAGGGTCACAGTAAGTGAGCAACAGTCCGTGAGGGTCACAGTAAATGAGCACCAGTCAGTGAGGGTCGCAGTAAGTGAGCAGCAGCCAGTGAGGGTCGCAGTCCGTAAGGGGCACAGTAAGTAAGAAGCACCCAGTGAGAGGCACAGTAAGGGAGTAGTATCACACATAGTATCACAGTGTGAGCCCCTCTCCCCGCACTCAGTATCACAGTGTGAGCCCCTCTCCCCGCACTCAGTATCACAGTGTGAGCCCTTCCCCGCACTCAGTAAGTATCATAGTGTGAGCCCCTCTCCCCGCACTCAGTATCACAGTGTGAGCCCCTCTCCCCGCACTCAGTATCACAGTGTGAGCCCTTCCCCGCACTCAGTAAGTATCACAGTGTGAGCCCCTCTCCCCGCACTCACTGAGTATCACAGTGTGAGCCCCTCTCCCCGCACTCACTGAGTATCACAGTGTCAGCCCCTCTCCCCGCACTCAGTATCATAGTGTGAGCCCCTCTCCCCGCACTCACTGAGTATCACAGTGTCAGCCCCTCTCCCCGCACTCACTGAGTATCACAGTGTCAGCCCCTCTCCCCGCACTCAGTATCACAGTGTGACCCCCTCTCCCCCACTCAGTATCACAGTGTGAGCCCCTCTCCCCGCACTCACTGAGTATCACAGTGTGAGCCCCTCTCCCCGCACTCACTGAGTATCACAGTGTCAGCCCCCCTTATTCAGTTTCACTCTGTGACCCAATCCCTCCAGCTCGCTGTGTAAGTGACAGCCCTGGAGAGCAATCCGGAGGGGCCCCGCCTGAGTAGGGGCCGGACCAGGGGCCACTCACCAACCCCCTGACAGACACTTCCTGCTTCCTCCCTGTGTGAGTCAGGAAGCAGACTCAGTAAACACTCAAACTCAGCTCCTGCTCCAGACATGGCTGGCATTAAAGGTACTGTCTCATTCCTTTCACTCACACTCCGTGAGTTTGCACTCATCTAGTACAGTGCTGCTCTCCTGCTATTGTAATGGGAACCAACCTGATCAACTACCTATACAGGGGGTCTATTAACCCTTTGTGCTCCAGGCTGGGCTGCAGCAACAAGAATGCTTTTCATTACTTATTGGCATTGCAAGAGTTAACCCCTAGCTAAAATGGAAGAGTTAACCCCTAGCTGGCTATGAAGGATTATTCCCTAGCTAACATGGAAGAGTTAACCCCTAGCTGGCTATGAAGGATTATCCCCTAGCTAACATGGAAGAGTTAACCCTTAGCTGGCTTTGAAGGATTATCCCCTAGCTAACATGGAAGAGTTAACCCCTAGCTGGCTATGAAGGATTATCCCCTAGCTAACATGGAAGAGTTAACCCCTAGCTGGCTATGAAGGATTATCCCCTAGCTAACATGGAAGAGTTAACCCCTAGCTGGCTATGAAGGATTATCCCCTAGCTAACATGGAAGAGTTAACCCTTAGCTGGCTTTGAAGGATTATCCCCTAGCTAACATGGAATAGTTAACCCTTAGCTGGCTATGAAGGATTATCCCCTAGCTAACATGGAAGAGTTAACCCCTAACTGGCTCTAAAGAGTTAATCATTGGCTAACCTTAATACGTCAACCCCTATTTTGCCTAGACAAGTTAACCCCTAGTTAGCCTTGAAGAAGTAACCCCTAACTAGCTTAGACAAGTTAACCCCTAGCTGGCCTGTAAGAGTTAACCCCTAGCTGGCCTTGAATAGTTAACCCTGTAAATTGAGTAAATTTGCTATTCTTATGCTTTCATTAACCCTGCCAGTATTTCTGATCTCCAAAACAATAGTACGCTGCCCGAAATATTTTTATTTTGTTTTAAAAGTAGAAGGTTATGGGAAAGGCTACAGAAATATTCTGAATACACAGACATTTATTTGCTATTTAAAAATAAATAAATAAAGCAAGAGTCATGTCGTTTATTCCACCACTATCTAGATTATTATTTTAAAAACAGTTTTCAAGTGACAGTTGTCCTTTAAGAAAACAAGTTCAGGATCGAAACAAAACCTACAATTTGTGCTATGTGTTTGTTCAACTGTAATTTTTTTTTCTTTAAAGGAATAATAATTTTAAAAAATTTATATTTATTTTATGTTAGACCGTTCCTTTTTAGTGTAGATTACTCCAAGTACCATAACCACCGCTACCCGCCTACCTTTCTCTTACCAATGAGCGAAGCTCTGCACTGCTATCGTAAAATGGTTTGACTACTTACAATAGGGAAGTGCCAGCGCACTCCTGGCACCATAACCACTACAACTCAGTGCCATTTTCTTTTTTTATATATATTTACCTGTTCTACCGTGTGCCGGATCTCAGTATCCTGGGGCAGCCATTTTGTTCTCCCCCTTTTTGTCTGCTGTTTGCCCTCCTGGTTGATTATACTGATGAATTGTGGGTAAATTAATTTGTCAACTTGCGTAATCTCTGCTCATTGTCAACATGACTGCTTTACATTATGTAAAACATTTCCTTATGCATATTATGAAAATGAGAGCCCTCAGGAAAAAAATAATATTCAGGCACGAGATTAACCCCTTGAGGACCAAACTTGTGGAATAAAAGGGAATCACGACATGTCATACATGTCATGTGTCCTTAAGGGGTTAATAGAAGCAGATTAGATAAAGTTTATTTTTGATAACGGAGCCATTTTATGGAGGTAGTGTCCCATGTTACTGTCTGTGTGATATGCACTAGACATGTTTCGAACAAATGTAAACATTGCAGTTTCAGTACGACTTCACTCTTCTTGTTTTTTTGTTCCGTACATACAATTTATAATCGTATTATAATTATCCCCCTGTGTTAGGTACAGTAAATGGCAACCCTTTTATTTGTAACATGTTATTTTAATCATCTGACACTCTTAGCCAGTGAATGCTGTTTAAACCTGGTACTATACCAACTCAGACTGAAAGGGCTCCGATTGCCCCACGCAGCGCAGTGGGTGTCAAACTGTTTGTAACTGCTGTAGTGGTTATGGTGTCTTAGAGTGTCATTTTAACTGAAGTATAGGAGAATTGTATTTTTTTCAAATTGGCTATTGTTGCCTAAATTTTGGAATTTTGATTTCAATTCACTACAGTTTACTGTTCAAGAGATACCATATTTTTCGGAATATAGGACGCAGTTATTTTACTAGTTGTAGAGGCAGCCCAAATCTGTACTTCTGTCGAGCTCTCTGTCGCACGAACCTGGCCTGTCAGATTGTTGCAGCGGGTTACCATGGCAATGCTTCGAAGTGGCGCAATGCTAGGGGCTTGCGATAAGAGCTTGCACCCGGCAGAGTTGCAAGCTAGAAACCTATAGTAGCACCTGACCACCAGGGGATTTATAGCAGTAGCTTTTACCACCAGACAATCCTGTGTCCCCCTCACTGGCCAGAGGTAAGAGGCACACACATTAAATAAATCTGAAGTAAAAGTATGAAGCTGCACCTCTCACCCCCCTTCGAATCTACACATGCACCTGCACTGCATCCACTATGCACACACTGCATTCTCTGCACACACAATTCCTTCCTTACAGACACTGCATTAACTAAACACACAGACACTTTATCCCCTACACACATTAAATTCCTGACACACACTTTATCCTCTATATACACATAGATACTGTATCCCCTACACACATTAAGTTCCTTTCACATACACATATGCTATATCCCTCTATATACCCATACACGCTATATATGCTATATCCCTCTATACCCATACACGCTATATATGCTATATCCCTCTATACCCATACACGCTACATGCTCTGTACACATAAACTAAAGTTTACGGTGATTATGGTACATGTTGTCTTATATTGTTTTTTTTCTCTAAATGTCTTGTCAAAGTATATGGGTGCAACTTATATTCCGAAAAATACAGTAACTCCCAAAATATATTGTAAGGAAGTCAAAGTTAACTTGAATATTTAGGGCAAAATAGCCGAAAACTGAACTCAGTAGTAAATGAAAATCTGGTAATGGCAAAATTAGGCCGAAATAGCTGGTCTGGAAAATTCTCCATCTCGGCTAGAAGTCCTAGATAGCTATTCTAGTCTAAATTGTGTCTCCTGAATGTCACATTTCAGGCCAAAATAGACGAACTGAAAACATTCACCATATTTTTATTATTTTATTATTTATATAGCGCCAGCAAATTTCGTAGCGCCATTTCATCTGTGTTTTTTGTTTGGCTAATAGTCTCCTATGCATTCCCTGCTATTCACACGTTCGTGAATAACGTTGCACAACTGCAATTTAGTTTTTCTGATGTGGATAAATCTATAATTCAACTTTTCACAAATGTGCACATTTTATTTTCCAGAATCACTGAATTTAATATATTATTTATAAAGCGCCAACAAGTTCTGTAGTGCTGTACAATGAGTGGCCTAACAGACATTGAAAGTCTGTATCTGGTAGAAATCCCTTGGTGGAGTCAAACTTTAAAATTAGTATATGTAATGCTTAAATAGAACTTCTACTTTAAATTGTTCAAAATTGGTTTAATTTTCAATCTTGAGACGGCTCTGGCGACTCCTGTCACTCACTACACAATAAGCTGCATTATTGCTGTGATTTGTAGCCAGCTGTTCGTGACCCATTAACACGTTGGTTTATTTGCGAAACAATGAATTGTGGAGTTTCAACCAGGCAAATTTAAACTTTTAGACTAAAATAGTCGAGATGGAATAATGGAAATATTGTAAAATATATCCAATTCTAATATATTTATATATATATTTGCCCCCCCTTTCTGCACTGTAAAAGTTGACCCCTAACTAATCCTTTTGACTAGTTGAGGGACATGGGAGTTGTAATCCGGGTATAGCATGGGCTGCCGGTCCACGCGCTCTGACAATGTACCACAATGTATCTGCTGTTTAGTATATGTCCAGGATATGTCTAGTTTGATACGGCTTTGTACCTGTTTGCAGCACTTGTCGGTTTGTCGTTTACTGGAGCCATTGGACTTACGTTTCTTATGCTGGGATGTGCCTTGGAAAATTACAGGTAGGTTCTATGTGAAGCTTTGTATGTAACATGTTGTTTGTGCTGCACAATGACATCATACCCACTATGATGTCATACTATTTTAGGTTTGACTCTGTACTCCAGCACGTTATATAGTTGGCTAAATACTGCAACTTCATATCCTTTAAAATGAATAATAAATAACTAGCCCATTAATTTTAGGGGACCGAAATTATTGGATTTCTGGTTAGTCTGTTGCTTTTTGGCAAAGCGTGAGCAGATCCCTGGTTTAGCTAGATTTTAATTACGATGTTGCATTCAGAATTTGTTCTTATCACTTCACAGCAGGAGCAAAAGTGGTTTATACCTTTTATAGCAGACCATTGTGAGACTCTACAATCAGAATTGATCAATTAGAGACTTACAGGGTTATTCACCAATGTGAGAATTGAGGGAAATTCAAACTGAATTTAAAGATAAAAATAGCCAGGTGCAATACAGAATTGACTTGGAAAATGTCGAATTCGGCTACTTTGGTTTAAATTTGAAGATTTGCTTTGATTTCATGACAATTCTGACTTTAGTAAAAAAAAATCTATTGGATAAATATCAGGTATGCCAGAATCAATCGTGTAGTAGATTGTTAAAAAGCAGGAATGTGGCGGTGAGCTCAATCACAGCACCTGATATGGAAAGTGATAGCAGTGAATGGCAAGAAATGATTTAATACTTCATCTGTCGTCCAGCTCAGAAGCAGTCTCTCTGAGTGCTGTCGCCCAGCTCAGAAGCAGTCTCTCTGAGTGCTGTCGCCCAGCTCAGAAGCAGTCTCTCTGAGTGCTGTCGCCCAGCTCAGAAGCAGTCTCTCTGAGTGCTGTCGCCCAGGTCAGAAGCAGTCTCTCTGAGTGCTGTCGCCCAGGTCAGAAGCAGTCTCTCTGAGTGCTGTCGCCCAGCTCAGAAGCAGTCTCTCTGAGTGCTGTCGCCCAGCTCAGAAGCAGTCTCTCTGAGTGCTGTCGCCCAGCTCAGAAGCAGTCTCTCTGAGTGCTGTCGCCCAGCTCAGAAGCAGTCTCTCTGAGTGCTGTCGCCCAGCTCAGAAGCAGTCTCTCAGGATGCTGTTTAACAGATAACGATCACTATTTCAGGATGTCACATTGTAGTGTTGCATAGTACCATAAATAGAATGCTACACCAACATGACTTTACAGGGTGTACCACAATATACAAACCTCACATAATAACAACTGAACAGCCAGCTTGCAGTTTGCTAGACGTGTAATGGAAAAACAAGAGTATTAAAGAAAAAAATATTAAGGACTCACACCAGTGATGCCCACGTTAGATGCAATGTATAGAATAGGCTACAGGTAGTTTAAGCAGTTTTATTGAGTGTTTTATGTATATTTACTTACACAAGGTGTCCTGTCACAGTCCAAATACTTGTGGACTGCAGTATGTTTTCGTGTATTTTTAAGCCATTTGGTGAGTACAGTATCTTAGTATGGAGACTTTATAGAAGATAAGTACCATGCTGGAGAGTTTTTTGCTGTGAAACCCTGTGATACACACTGCACATTATTGTTGGTCTTATTGCTGCGATACACTCATACACACCACACATTAATGTGAGTACTATAGCTCAGGAGCTCTGCGATACACTCATACACACCACACATTAATGTGAGTATTATAGCTCAGGAGCTCTGCGATACACTCATACACACCACACATTAATATGAGTATTATAGCTCAGGAGCTCTGCGATACACTCATACACACCACACATTAATGTGAGTATTATACCTCAGGAGCTCCATGATTCACTCGTACAGGCCATACATTATTGTGAGTATTATAGCTCAGGAGCTCTGTGATTCACTCGTACAGGCCATACATTAATGTGAGTATTATAGTTGAGGAGCTCTGTGATTCAATCGTACAGGCCATACATTATTGTGAGTATTATAGTTGAGGAGCTCTGTGATTCACTCGTACAGGCCATACATTATTGTGAGTATTATAGTTGAGGAGCTCTGTGATTCACTCGTACAGGCCATACATTAATGTGAGTGTTTTTTATTGCTGTTTAATCCTGTGGTATACTCTCACACACATTCTATTCCAGTTGTCCTCTGTGGACACACACACTACACATTATTGAGTTTTATTACTGTGGAGCTCTGACATACACTCTTACACAGCGCACAGTACTGTACTTTTCATTGCAGTAGATATTTTTGTGGTACGCACTCAGTCACTTAAGTTTTTTTTGCCGTGGAGCTCTGTAACACAGTCTTTACCGTTTGGAAATTGGACATCTCCTTGCTTTTTTTTTTTTTTTGTCTGTGAATATAATAAAATTCAGTAAGGTGGAAACTTACAGGCACATATTATAATGCATTACCTAAGGGGTAGTGCTTTCTGTTTTGTTTTTTCCCTCCATTGTATATGCCTGTGTTGTATTTAATGTACCTCACCCGGTTTCTTTGTTTTTACAGGATATATTGGCCTTTGTTTGTCTTGATATTTTATGTCATCAGTCCCATCCCGCATTTCATTGCCACACGCCTCAGTGATGATACAGATGCTGCAAGCAGTGCCTGCCGAGAACTGGCTTTCTTCTTCACCACTGGAATCGTGGTCTCTGCGTTTGGTTTCCCTATTATTCTAGCTAGAGTCCAAGTGGTAGGATTTCATTTTTTTTCTTAATGTTTCAAATCAATGCTGGGCTTGATGCCTATCTGTAATGCATAATATAGACCGTGCATTAGAAACATGCAAAAACTAAACGTAGACGTAAAAAAACAAAAACCAAGCGAACTCCGCATAGACATTCTGACAATGCTTTGTTTTTTCTGCATTTCCACAAATCCAGAATTTGCAGTGTCTATAGTGAGCTCTTCTAAAGCAATGAATTAGCTGAAAAGTTTAGCCAAACCTAACCTTTGAATTATTATCTATGGGATAAATATAAACTGCAATTTCCGAACACATAATAAATTCACTGTTTAGTAGATATACCCTGACGAAAACATGCATGCATGCATATAATTATGCCTTTTTTTTCCCCTTGGGTATATATCTAAACATAGCTTAAAAGAACTGCAGATCTACTGTCTGCAGCCTTTGCAAGGCCTCCTTTTTTTCCTCAGCCCAGACTTTTTGCGTTTAATATATTCTTCCTCACCTTGCGTTCTCTGCACCCAGCGGCCGTGCGTCTGCATGACTGATACTTGCGGCATGTTAATGGACACCGGCCGCTGTGGATCCATGGCAAATTATACCCACACGTTCACTAACGTGATTGACGACGTTGGCATGCACGTGACATCACAAACATGCCGCGTGCGTATGTATTGGGTTCAGTGATCGATCTCGGCCAATCAGAAAGGTAAAGCATGTATTTAAACTCAAAATTACCTTTCCTCGTTGCCCTGTCGTGGTTTCCCTAGTGATTGTCCGAGAGTGCGTTCCTGAACAGTTATTTTATGGTTTCTCACTTTGATTTTGACTTCCTTGTATTCTGGTATCCCTGACCTCTCTGGCTTTCTTTTATTGTTGTGTCCCTTTCTGTATTCCCTAAACTCGGCTACTATCCTGACTATTCTTTGGTACGTTAGTCCGGCCATTCTAAGGCCCGGTATACGTTACCTATCAGTCATCTGTGTGACACAATTCTACGTGCTGGATCAAGTAGTAATCCTGATATTACGACAGGTCCATAGATCCTGTAGAATTGTGTCAGCACATAGCTGCTTGCGAAAGGAAGTTATAGGAGAATGATCACCGCATGGATCAATTTGCCCAGGCCTTCAATACGCTTCTTACTCGAACAGCGCATCTGCAACCTGCGGCCTCACCTCCACCTTATGTACCTCCACCTATAGTACACAAGGCACATACTATCTCCCTATCTCCTCCCCTGCATTTTGATGGTAATATTCAAGAATGCTGGGGATTCCTTAACCAAATTGAATATCATTTTGAGGCCTCACTGGGATCTTTTCCCACAGAGAGAGCTAAAATTTGTTAACTGATGAACCAACTTAAAGGTAAAGCTTTAGCTTGGGCCAATCCGTTATGGGAGAGTAATAGGAGCGTGGCACACAATTACCAGGAATTCCTTACGGAATTCAAACTTATGTTTGAACCATTAGGCAGGGAGGATGATGCCTCCACTGCCCTAATGCATATCAGACAAGGGAACTGGTCTATCTCGGAGTTTGCCATAGAATTTCGCACCTTGGCTTTCGAGGTAGACTAGACTAACAGCTGATTAATCTCGGCATTTAAGAAAGGATTATCTGAGACTATGTTGGATGAGATCGCCGCCAAAGACCTACCCAAAAAACTGAACAAATTTATCACATTTGTCATGCTAATAGATTAAGAACCAGAGAAGCTGCTAGAAACAAGACCAGACATATGACTATGCCTTTAGCACCCCGCTTTACCAGACCTATTGTCCCTGACCTTCCAGTGCAGTCCAAACCCGAACCCATGGAGTTGGGGGTCACTAGACTGTCGGAGGCAGAAAGACAATATAGGAGAAAAGAAGGCCTATGCCTATACTGCGGTAGAAGAGGACATATGAGGAGTGCTTGCCCCATACGTCCGGAAAACTACTGCACCTAAGAACCTTAAGGTCTTGGGCGTAATGGATACGTCCTTTGGGAATAACAAAAATAGATTTTTTTCCTCAATATTATGATCATACTTGACAAAAAGAACTTTTCCTGCAAAGCCCTAAAGGTGCAGCAGGCAATTTCATTGATGTTCATTTTGTGAAAAGTAACGCTCTACCTATCAAGGAGAGACTATCACCTCTGGCTGTTGAAGCTATCGATGCGAAACCACTCTCTCAAACATTAATCACCCACGAAACCTTGCCCATTAACATGTCTATTGGTGCCTTACATAAGGAAGATATAACATTCCAAGTTATTACGTCTCCTTCGTGCCCTATCATATTAGGCTTTCCTTGGCTTAGTAAGCACAATCCTCATATCAACTGGGCTAATGGGGAAATATTAGAATGGGGTAAGGATTGTAATGGGAACTGTATGTTACACATCATCAAGAGAGTGGGCACCATTAAATTACCCACTACTACGCCTCGAACTCCCGAACTTTCCATACAATACCAGGAGGTGTTCAGCAAAACTCTGTCTAATATTTTACCTCCTCACAGACCATATGACTGTTCCAGAGCAGCTTTATTGTAAATTGGAAAAATGTATCTTTGATCAGTCAGAAGTACAGTTTTTGGGGACAGGGACACTGCACCCAGACCACTTTAATACGCTGAAATGGTCTGGGTGCCTATAGTGTCCCTTTCATTCATGTTTTTTTTTAAAATGTATTTATTTTTCCCATGAATGGAGCAAATTACAGTTGTAAGACAAGCTCCTGCATTAAATATTTTGTGGGAGCATCTAAGAGGTGCTGGGAAGCTGAAGCTTACAATGAATTTTATAGTGTTTGGAAAGATTACAGTAAACCCAATAAAAAGAATAAATAAAATAACACGTTGACATGCTTTGTGACTGGTTTTTGATAATTTTCTTACAATAAAGAATATCTTTCCGGACACACCCTTATTTAATGCACACCGTAAATGTTCATTAAGTGATATCTGATCATTTTGGTTAGTAACCTTAAGCTTTTCATCAGATTTATTAATTTTGCTTTGCAGGCTGGTTCGGATCGGATCATAAATATGCGTTAAAGCAGCTCTTTCACTTTGAAGATTTTGCTTTTCAATTAATCCTTTTTTGTCCTTCTGTTTCTCTTTGTTCTCATTTTTTTGAAATTCACCTTTATATTTTACTTGTACATAACTAAAAGTAGGGATTAGGTTTTGCTTATGAGGAGCGTGGCCTTTTGCAAATTGTGGCAATGGGTGGAGCTTAAGCAAAGTGTCATGTCCGTTGCCAAGGTAATTTACCCACAATGCATCAGTCAAAAGAATTCCAGAGTAGGGCAAACTGCAGACATGATGGACAGTGGCATATCAATCTGCTGCCAGTGATCCTCCTCTAAGCACTGCATATCAATCTGCTGCCAGCGATCCTCCTCTAAGCACTGCATATCAGGCTGATGCCAGTGATCCTCCTCTAAGCACTGCATATCAGGCTGTTGCCAGTGATCCTCCTCTAAGCACTGCATATCAGGCTGATGCCAGTGATCCTCCTCTAAGCACTGCATATCAGGCTGCAGCCAGTGATCCTCCTCTAAGCGCTGCATATCAGGCTGCTGCCAGTGATCCTCCTCTAAGCACTGCATATCAGGCTGATGCCAGTGATCCTCCTCTAAGCACTGCATATCAGGCTGCAGCCAGTGATCCTCCTCTAAGCGCTGCATATCAGGCTGCAGCCAGTGATCCTCCTCTAAGCACTGCATATCAGGCTGCTGCCAGTGATCCTCCTCTAAGCACTGCATATCAGGCTGCTGCCAGTGATCCTCCTCTAAGCACTGCATATCAGGCTGCTGCCAGTGATCCTCCTCTAAGCACTGCATATCAGGCTGCTGCCAGTGATCCTCCTCTAAGCACTGCATATCAGGCTGCTGCCAGTGATCCTCCTCTAAGCACTGCATATCAGGCTGCTGCCAGTGATCCTCCTCTAAGCAGTGCATATCAATCTGCTGCCAGTGATCCTCCTCTAAGCAGTGCATATCAATCTGCTGCCAGTGATCCTCCTCTAAGCACTGCATATCAGGCTGCTGCCAGTGATCCTCCTCTAAGCACTGCATATCAGGCTGCTACCAGTGATCCTCCTCTAAGCACTGCATATCAATCTGCTGCCAGTGATCCTCCTCTAAGCACTGCAGATCAGGCTGCTGCCAGTGATCCTCCTCTAAGCACTGCATATCAGGCTGCTGCCAGTGATCCTCCTCTAAGCACTGCATATCAGGCTGCTGCCAGTGATCCTCCTCTAAGCAGTGCATATCAATCTGCTGCCAGTGATCCTCCTCTAAGCACTGCATATCAGGCTGTTGCCAGTGATCCTCCTCTAAGCACTGCATATTAGGCTGCTGTCAGTGATCCTGCTCTAAGCACTGCATATCAGGCTGCTGCCAGCGATCCTCCTCTAAGCACTGCATATCGGGCTGCTACCAGTGATCCTCCTCTAAGCACTGCATATCAGGCTGTTGCCAGTGATCCTCCTCTAAGCACTGCATTTTAGGCTGTTGCCAGTGATCCTCCTCTAAGCACTGCATATCAGGCTGTTGCCAGTGATCCTCCTCTAAGCACTGCATATCAGGCCGCTGCCAGTGATCCTCCTCTAAGCACTGCATATCAGGCTGCTGCCAGTGATCCTCCTCTAAGCACTGCATATCAGGCTGCTGCCAGTGATCCCCCTCTAAGCACTGCATATCAGGCTGCTGCCAGCGATCCTCCTCTAAGCGCTGCATATCAGAGATACAGTTTGAGTTTGTATGTTACTTTTTGTTTATGTGTGTGGTGTTGTCTCTGAATTCATATTCTTATTACTTCATTTCATGATTGTGCTACTGGTAGGATTACTATAGGCACATGCAAAATGACATTGTGATTCTTTTTGTGGATTCGTGTCTCATTGACTATTCTCAGCATTGTGATGTCATAGCTGTCAACGCCCCCGAGGACCAGCAATTGAGATGTGGGATTTTTCTCTGCATAGCATTAGGGCCTCCACATCGTCCGTGGTTTACTGCCATAAAACCAATCTGATTGCTGTGAATACCAGCACATTAGTTCTACCTCTTACAATTGTTTCATTGGACGCCTCCTCTCACTTAAAGGACGGGTTTTTGGATTATTCCATGAAAGCAAGCTGTAGTAATATGGAAATAGGCATATTTAATCAGTAATAAAATCTATTGAATTTACAACTCAAAATATATCTTATTGAAAACATTAAACATCCCCTAGGTGGTGCTCCAACCATTATAAATGGCTCCATACGCATGGAAATAGGACAGATCTCCGGAGAACATTTTCCAGAACATTTCATATCTGGCAGCAATTGCATCTGTAACAATAAACCCCTGGGTCATTGTTTTATTACTAGGAATTTATTGGCAAAGGACTCCTTGAGAGAGATTTGGGGATATAATAAGGAAGGAGCAATCTTAATCCTGTTTAAATGACATCATGTAACAAATAATTATGGAATCATTCAGCTCAATACTTTTCAGTGTTACATTTATTCCGTCATTCATTGTTAAAGTAACACTCCAGGCACCATCACCACTACATCATGCGGTACCAGACATGCCTGGAGCTCTCAAGGTAGGTCAATGGGATGGCCCTTCACAGATGTTCTTAGCTCAGTGGTGCTAGTAGAAGCTTCTTTCAGGAGCTTCTCGCCCCAAAGGAGGCAGCGGCAACTGTTTGACAGGACCCAAGTGAGTTGTGAATATGTTCTTAAACAGTGCCAAGGCGGGTGCCAAGGCACTCCCAGCAAAATGACAACTACAGCAAGTTCTGTAAAAGGATTATTCCAAACACCGTTGCAAAATATGGTCCTTGCAGAGATCATAGTGAAAGGAGGTCCCCTGTTTTTTGCTTCTCTTCTCCTGGTTCACCTCATGCCTCTCAAATGTCCCTAGTTTGGAGTGACAGTCCTTATTTTTATTTATTTCAAAACTCCTAATTACAGGTTGGAATATATATTATATTGTTTATGAAGGTTTTTTGTTTTTGTGTTTTTTTTTGTAGAAACATTTAAATGCCGGTACATCATGTTGGCTCTTGGCCAGCACAGAACATGTAGCATTCACACACTGCAGGAGAGAAATTGATTAATCAATATCGAGCCTTTGAAATCCCTCCTGAATTAATTTCCTTACTGCAGAATATGGAGTCTGATTTATTTTTTTGGAAAATGTGGTTAATACAGAAAACCACCAGCTCCGTAACAAATCCAGATAGGTTAATTCAATTTGTATTTATTATTATAAATGTACTCGTGATTAGTAAATATAACCCTTTGGGTTTTTTTTTTTTTTGTTTTTTTTTCTCTACGTGATCTTATGTGCATATTGGTCAAAGTATGGACAAAAATAAACAAAAGCCAACAGTTTCTTGCACTGTGCTAATATGAATTCTTTTGTATGTATCCATCGAGGTGTTAAGTACTGAAATGGTTAATCATACCAAAAAAAAACCGCTACAGCAGTTCTGTCCTTTTCTCTTTCAGATACAATGGGGTGCGTGTGGACTGGTCCTTGCTGGCAATGCAGTTATTTTCCTTACGATCCTTGGATTTTTTATTGTTTTTGGCAGAGGTGACGACTTTAGCTGGGAGCAGTGGTAAAGACTGTAAAACCAATAGGGAGTTTTTTTTCCCTTTTTTTTTTTTTCACGGATTACACCAATCCCTGCTCTCGTATGCATACTCATCCCATGTGGACATTAATGGTGGCCTGATCTAAATGATGCCAGGTTCTGTTTCACATTTCTTATTAAGGCTACTGTTATTGTATTTGTTCCTTTTTAGTTTCTCTCCTTTTGTAAATATATATAATTTAATATAAGACAATTACACATCATATCTATAGTAATAAAAGCATTAACCGTTGTTGACAAAACTGTATGTTGCCCGTGGTTTGAAGAAGGCCCGTCACTTGGAACCCTACAGGTTATTGGTCTTGCAAATATCATATTGGCGAAAAGGGTTTTTTGTATTTGTGCTAAATTCACTTTTATGAGTATATCCCCAAAACTTCTCTTTCTGTAACCCAACACGGACCTCTGCAATACTTTTCTTGACAATCAAAGAGTTAAACTGACCGACAACGGCCAGGATATATAAGAGTAAAAACGCCCAGGCTGGCGAGATCTGCAGTCTACACGTGATGGCCAACATTCCGTAATTAAACCATATATCCAAGGATTTACTGGTGATTATATGACATGTCATTGCGCTGACACTTCATTTTGTACGGTTTCCATTTTGTAGAACACAAACTGTGTGAGCTCTCCTGACTGAATGGGTCTCTATTTACTGAACAGTGTATTGTTGTTAATGAATATTGAACTGCAAAATTTAGGCCAAAACAGACCAATTAGAAAGTCTTGTCTTCCTGGCTAAAATTCAGTAGTTTATTCAACACCGTTCACTGTTTAGCGAAAACACGCAACAAGTCATTTTGTTGAATATGCACTTTTTTATATGACTATAAAATAATGGGCTACATTTCATAATCCTTATACTGAAAAGATAACTTAATATATATTTTTTAATTATTATAAGTGGTATTCCTTATTGTTTTTAGAATACCGCCCCCCCCCCTTTTTTTTTATTTGAAGTTTTTAAAATTTGCTATAAAATTTACCTTTATTCCAGTACTGAGATAGACCCCTCACTGCAGTCCAGTCCTCCTCCAACAAAGCCCTGAACCCTATCACTTTTGTTCAGTGAGATACTTTCTATTGAGAAGCAGTAAGGACACATGGCGCATGTATTGCAGTTGCAACAATCTACTTCTCATAGAGAAACATGAGATGTACACAGCTTTAGCAAGCTAAAATAAATAGCCGAAATAAAATAAATTCCAAGGCAGCATCTTTTCCTGATCTCTCCACTACGATGAACTGATATTTAATGCATAGCCTGTCCCTTTATGGCACACTCCAAGCATTGTAACACCCACAGCCTATTGAGGTGGTTATGGTACAATGATAACCGTTCCCACTGTTTCTATAAAGCCAGTTCCTCTTTTGGGGGCCCTTTATGGTTTATTCAATAATCTTTGTATTTTGGAATTCAGGGAAACCCCTATGTTATGGTGTCCAAATTGTAAGTACAGCTCTGTACAGTTCTTATGTATGACTCCATCCCCAAGTTAAATATCCAGGATTGCCGTTTATATTGAATACTTGTATTTGGGTCTTATTTGCCTATTTTGCACAATAGCCATATAAAACCATGCAAGGGATTGTCTGCTGTTATTGGACCCATAGTTACTGTTCCTGAAGAATCTTTAACACTTTGGAAAATTTAAAAATGTGTGCCTTGTTTGCCTTTAAAACTCTTTTTGACGTTAACTTTAATAAAATCAACCATGTTTATACATTTAAAAATGTTTTTCAAATCCACCCTTTTAAATCTCCTGCACACCCACAGAGTGTGGATTTCATGGTAGAAATGACACTGGTTTATTGGTATATTTAACATCTCTGATCAAATCTGAGTAGTCTTTAGAGCTGGCACTCTAAATATACGTAACTTTTTCCATACAACAAAAACAGGTGCTGGTGTTACTTTTTTGTATGTGATTTAAAAAAAAATTATAATTTTTTTTCTTATAAATAAAGTTCAGTAAAAAAAACATTTCCTAACATGACCTCTAAAACAAAGGCAGGGGCACTGAATCCACATCAACTCTATTTGCCCCACAAAACCACCAACAGTTGGCACAGATGCTGCCAAATTTGCTTGCCCGGGATACGTAATGAAATGAAGCTTCCTAATTACATCCCCCTCCCCTTTGTTTTGTTTTCAGATAACTAAAAGATATTGGTAAAACCCAGAGGGACTAAACCTATAACTGCATAGCACCATTACCACTCCAAAAAACGACAGTGGTTTTGGTGTTTGGAATGTCACTTTAAGGTTAAAATAAACTTCAAAATGTATGTTTTTTATATATTAACGTCAAACAGTACTGCTTTTTATAACTGACATTGTATGTATACCGCCAAGATTGTATCTCCTCTCTTATTACATAATAGAGAAATTATATTCTGTTTTTAAATCTTGGTGTGGAGGGGGCGAGGGGGTAATTGAATTTTTTGAACATTCATTTCTTTTTGAAATGTGTCTCTTTTTGGACAAGCTCTTTTCATTATAAAAAAAAAAAAGGAAAATTATATACTGTTTGTTTTTGCTGCAGTGTATTCAATTACTTGTGAATGTTAAGTTGCATACTGCTATTGCATTTGACATGTTAACGTTGTGCATTATATAAATATTAACACTGTGATACGCAATTCATGTTTATTTGTTTATTTTTTTTTTTCATATTCTTTGTATACCAGTTTTAAACAGATTCTGGAGGACCTAAAACTATAAGCATTGAGAGTTATTTCTAAAAAGCCTTTCTGGAGACTTATTTGTATATACCCCCCAATCACCATGGAAACCAGTGGAATGTCTGCTGATTGCTCCTGTATTGGTACCTTTCCCCAGAATTGCTGTTTAGAATTAAACCCAAAATCCGCTGAGGCTCGCTGATGTCACGGTTAACTATGACTCGACAAGCAGTATTTAAGTAATCTATAAAAAATATATACTATTTTGGAGAATAATGTATTACCGGACCTTACTGAAGCCAGACTGAACAGAAAACAGAGTAGTACAGGACAAGCCAAGGTCAGGAGAACAGAAGGTAGAATAGATGAGAATACTAGCCAAAGGTCAGGGACAATTGATAGAATAGGACAAAGGACAAACCAAGGTCAGATAAGACAGAGATAAACCAGGATTAACCCGCTTTCAAAATTATTAAATAAATGGAAATCACGACAGGGCCCAGTACCAAACTAAAAAGGGGATTATATTGCATTAAGGGCAACGATTGGTTACTTTTGCCCATGTAAAGTCAGAACGTGCATGCGCGTCGATGGCGAGATGACATATGCACATTTGCGTCATCAATTAGATAACAGGGGAGGGAGACTTTTAAAAAAGCTCTGGTATGCAGCAGCTGGCTTCGGTAAAAACTCCAGGATGAGGATTGGCAGCATTGGAGATAGACTTAGGCGGTGTTCTCAGTAAGTATATGGATCTCATGGGAACGTGCTTCCGAAAACCCTCGTTGGCCAGGTGCTGTGACAGCTGAGCAATATGGGAAATGTAGTTCACAGACTTATGCAGTGCCAAGGTTAGCAACCATAGTTGCAGGCTTGGTGGCTCTGTGATGTCTCAAAGGGATAAAATTACTTAAAGGAACACTATAGTCACATAAACAACTTTAGCTTAATGAAGCATTTTTTATGTGCAGACCATGCCTCTCCGGTTTCACTCCCCAATCCACTGTCATTTAGGAGTTAAATCACTTTGTTTCTGTTTATAAGTGCTTGCCACACCTTCTCTGGCTCTGATTGACACAGCCTGCATGGGGAAAAAAACTAAAACTGGTTTCACTTTCAATCAGATGTAATTTACCTTAAACTATTTTATCTCTTGCTCTTTAAATTTAACTTTAATCATATACAGGAGCCTCTTGCAGGGTCTAACAAGCTATTAACATAGCAGGGGATAAGAAAATCTAAATTAAAAATCTAAATTAAATTGCAATAAAGGAAGGATAAACTGTAGATGACTCTTTACAGGACGTGTTTAGGGAGGCTGTGCAAGTCTCGTGCAGGGAGGTGTGACTAGGGTTCATAAAAAAAAAAAGTGATTTAACTCCTAAATGGCAGATAATTGAGCACTGAGACTACCTGGGCATGATTTATACACCAAAACTGTTTTGTTAAGCCAAAGTTGTTTTGGTGACTATATTGTCCCTTTAAATAAAGCACAAAAGCAGAAGGCAAAGGAATGTATTGGTCATATCATCTTAAATGTCTTGCAATTCTTTATAGAGTCATGTGACCTGCCAGCTCCTGGTTATCAGACACGAGTCTGGTTTTCTTGTAGGGATCCCTTAAGCTCATACAGAGAATGACAAATTAATGGATTTTTAAGCCTCTTGGGGAAAACAAAGATTGCAGAATTAATGACTTGGGTGTTACAGAGGGAACTGTGTAGTCTTCTTCCTTATAATTTTGTGTTTCTGAGTTGTAACTAGAAATTGTGTGTTTACAATCGTTAACCATTTGACAATCTTTAGATAAGAACTGACATACTGTTTATATTTTGAGTAATAAATCATAAATTCTAAGTAAGAAACGTCAGCCTTCCTTTCCATGCAAATAGGAGTCAAACAAATCAAGGCCTTTAAGACTATTTTTTTTTTTATTATAAATACTTATAAACCACCCAAAATAGAATATAGAGGAAGGATGTTTTCTTTTTAATTTAAAGTTCATAGTCCAGGCTTTTATTTCAAGATTGTATCAATTGTATCTATTTACATTTTATTACTAAAAGGAGTGCTACTGCTAATCTATAAATTCTAATGTTTGAAGAGTTCTATTTGCGTCATTAAAAAGAAAAATGTGAATTTTGCTTGCTACACACTGAAATTTAAATGTACAGATCTGAAAATGTTTTGAATTTAAACATATATTTATTTTAACAGTAAGCTGAAGATAAATTGAATTTATAGTATGTATTTTAAGCAGAAAATATTCCACATTTTGCAGCAATTAGGCTATTCTAGACCAGCAAATTGTTTGGAACAGCAGTTTCTAAAATGCCTCAAAACATCATTTTCCATTTGTGTGTTAATCATTTAAAATTATGGTCAATAGGGGCAGCCATATAGGTTCACTGAACACTACATCAATGTGTGTGATATTGTCCACTTGTAAATCCCTTTATAGGAGGAAAGCAGTCTTTATATATTGTCTTTATGTACTTTATCCATGGCATGGAAGTAACATGTATCTTATTGTAAAATATATCGGTTTTTGTATCTCTTATATGAAAACTTAATAAAAAAACAATATAAACAGAAATAATAAACAGGAAAGCAATCTTATTGGTCAAGAATATTAAAACTTTTTTCCCCCAGAGATGCTACCAAATTGCCTGTCACAAGTCCTACTGCAAAAGATGGCTGTTTCTTATTGTTTATTTGGCTGCTTCAACATTCACAGAATTTAAATATGCCATCAAAGATTGTTCTATTTACATATCATGCAAGCACAATTTTGTGTTAAAATGTCATTTTTTTGTTTTGTTTTTTAAAGATATATATTGTTGCAAAAGAAAAAAAATCCCCTTTTATATTATTAACCTTTTTCTGCAGATATTCTTTATACGTTTTATATGTATAATAGAATATATTCATTAAACCCAAATCTCTCCAGTTATTTTAATATGAAACGGGCAGCTATACCTGTTTTATTAAACTGAATGTAATCTTTTCATGAATGCTGAAAAGTTAATCTCACAATTCACACTTTCAATGTTCAATTATTCATCAATAGTGATGTCCCGAATGGTTCGCGAACGGTTCGCCACGGACTCATCATTGAGTAAACTTTGACCCTGTACCTCACAGTCAGCAGACACATTCCAGCCAATCAGCAGCAGACCCTCCCTCCCAGACCCTCTCTCACCTCCTGGACAGCTAATTAAGAAGCTGCATTCTTAGTGAATGTCCAGGAGGTGGGATGGTCTGGGAGGGAGGGTCTGCTGCTGATTGGCTGGAATGTGTCTGCTGACTGTGAGGTACAGGGTCAAAGTTTACTCAATGATGAGTCCGTGCCGAACCGTTCGCGAACCGTTCGGGACATCACTATTCATCAATAGTAATATATTTTATTTTTTAATTCATTAACTTAAAAGGAAAGAAATATACTGGGATCAATTCGTGTTAACTTAAAAGAAAAAAAAAATAGACTGGGATCATTTCGTTACCTCCATGAGAGTCCGCTATACAATTTGAACTTTGCAAACCCATGGAGGGAGATTTATCAAAGTGTCAAAGAATAATCTATGAATTATGTTTTGTTTGGCGTGAATGATCAATTTGAACGGTCTTTTATACCACATGTTAGTATGTGTGCCTTTTTTTTCTTTCTTTTACTTGCATGGTTTTTGTTATCTACACCTTTGTGCTTCAAATAATTATCCCAATTTCTGGATTTCATTTATTTTTTTCTTCTTCTTCCCCTTAGAATGCAGCACAGAATGTTCACACATTATTCTTAGTGATATATTACGTGAAGGAGGTGACATACTCTTTAACAGATTGAAATGAATTTGGAAACCCAAAATACACTTTCAGAACACATTCACAAACATTTCCCTTAGACATATTCAAAGACTCAAACGCCGAGTTCCCTTTTGACATGTGACTTTAAGTTCAACAGGAACTTGCAAACTTTGCAAAGGGTTCCTTTTTAATGTACCTCTCCATATGTTCTGTATGTCATGGGGTAGTACCGCATTTTACAGGAATGGTGAATCCCACAAACCAGTTCTAGATAAATGTAATACTGGGCCTTAAAGGGGCCGGACTTAACTTTGATAAAGACAGTCAGGAATAGCCAAGGTAAGGGATATAGAATTAAGCATAAAAGGAATAACAGGCTGGGTCATCTCTGTGACTCCAAAAAAGTTATTAGGATGATGTGGTCACTTTAAAAGACACGCCATTAAAAAAGGGTACCGTCTGATATAATGCAGGGAATACAGCTAACAGGATTTCGTCCCGTGCGATCCAGCAGAGGGAGCTGTATCCCAGGCCGAACGGTAAGTGTTACCTGTTCAGGCCATGCGCCTCAACGAGGGCAGCAGCGTGGGCTCCAGCAGCAGGTAAGTTCGTAACACTGCTTATACTGAGTACAGGTTAGCTTCGCAATGTCCACAGACTTGCTATGCAAGTGCTGCAATTACATAGAATACAGCTCTCCGTTAACTTCGTATTAAACTCGGCAGGTCATGAACTATTTAGGGACCCTGCGCAGCTTGTCCTCTGATTCCGGCACTACTCGGACTGAGTCCAGTAACCTGAATTGATTTCTGGTGGGATTTAATCGGCCCGTTAGCAGTTCTGCAAAAATCATCTGTTTTTAGATATAAGTTCAGTTAAAGGAGTGATGCGCACACAAAGACAAAAATACAGTTTTCAGTTTTACAAGTCTGCATAAAATCACCTATCTTAGCAAACAAACATAGGGATTCAGTTCCACCATATGACTATATTGTGTTAAGCCCATCACTACTTTACAGTACCCCAATATCGGTAGGTCCTACACTAATTTTAACCAAGATTAAACGGGTGCCCCTTTGGAGGTGACCACAGGAAAACATACATTTGAGGAGTCTATGGAAGCAGTTTAAGCTGTAAGTATTGCAAGTTAGCATGCAAATCTCCCATATTAAAAATAGTGTAGGACCCACTGATATTTTGGGGACTGTGACGCAGTAGTGGGCTTAAAACAATATGGTCGGTGCATGTGCCATTCAATTTTCTTGTACAAAAGCGCATTACATTCACCAGCGAAAACATTTTTTTTGGGGGGGGGGGGCTTCCAGATTTCAAAATTCTAAAGCGCATTAGATTTAAGTAAATATAGTATTTTAAAAGTGTGACCAAAATATTAAATAATTTTCAGCGCTTATATAACAATATTAAATCAAAGCTTAAGAGTCTGTATTATAGAAAAAATAAAAATCTTCCAGCAATAGTCAACTTTTTAAACTGTCAAAAGATAATACATTAACATAGCGCATGGGAAAGAAGAATTGATATATAATAACCCAAATTTATACATCAGTCTCACAAAAACCTTCACTGTCCTTATTTACAGTGATTCTCCACGAATCTACAAAGTCTCCTTTTACCTATCTCAATCCTCACCTTCAACCTCTCTCTACAACTCCACCATCTCCTCTCAACTAAATATCATGGCAACTCCATCATTTAAACGTTGCAAGTACCCCAGTTTACAACCTTGACACACCAAGCTGACAATTATATTTTGTTATCTAATATGTTTGGATAAACTTTAAAATGATTTATTAATTAGGAAAGCCTATCCAACAATATTAAATTGATTTCTTAGTTGGACCTTGCTGAAATGACTCTATAGAAGGGCTAGTTGGAATGTACCCACCTAGTTTTCGTATAGCCACAACTCCTGAGAGCTCTGCTAGCCCTATCATAGATGTAGTATTGGCCTCTCATCCGCTATAGCAGTGTTGCCCAATTAAGTCCTTTTTGGAATACCTACCATGCAGGTTTTAGGCCTTTGCAAGACAGGTGCTCTGAGCAATTGCTGCCTCTTGAGTTTAGCTCCACTGAGCTAACAAAAGCAGGAAGTAACAGCATTGGTCGTCTGATCAACTACCAGGGGGGTGTAACCAGTTTATTTAATAAAAGTGTCAATTTCTATTGAAATCTGCAGTTTTTTTGTAAAATCTAAAAGACACACTTTTCACAGATAGAGAATCTCAGGAAGTACTTTGGGTGTTTGTAGTGTCCCTTTGAAGAAGAAGAAAATGTCCTGAATTTAAGAAACTAATGAGTAAAATAACCTATTTTTAGATTATTATCTTGGAAACTTGTTAAGGGTTATGTGACGAAAGTGCCTTGTCTGATTCATGTCCAGTGATTGATGAAGACATTTGTGGATTTTTCCAGTTGAACCCAGAAGACATACTCTGCATGTGTTATTCTTATGGGTTCTTTTAATATTCTCCACTATTACTGGTTTTTGAAGATCCTCTATATTTATAGTGACATTTCAAAGCTTGTCACAAAGCCGTCTCCATCAATGTTTGCCGTAGTATTTCAGTGTCACCATATAATTATTTGGATTTATTATTAAGACTGCAGCTACATTGTGAGCAGATTTTCCGTGTTTTACAATTTATTTTTATTTTCTATAGATGTTTTGCAAAGTGTGCAGTTCCTTGATGGCATTAAGGAACACATTTCGCCCATGTTACGTACATTATATCGCAGTAATATGTCAATACCTACCCCTCGTGACCCCCAGTGCCGCTTTCCCATTACTTGCATTATCAGTCATCAAAGAAAATGTTTACCACTTGCTATTTTGTACAACATATCTTTTACAGCCAATATACTCCGGAGTATCCCCCTTCTCCCCTGTTTCAATGCTTCTGTAAACAAATCTCATTGATGTTATCATAAAATTCATTATTCCATCTCCCCTAGCACTCGTCCATCCATCTCAAATTCTGCAGGACATAGTGTTTCATTGATTTTTCTTTACACGGATCCTTTTATAGTCATATCCTGACTCTAGAAGGGGTTTGCTCGAAGCATATCTGTTGGACCAATGGTAGATGGTCTTTTTATTCATTTCAAAACGTCATGACTTTGTGCAGTTTTGTTTACCGACATTAGGGTACAAAATATTGTTTTTGAAAGAACATTTTTTTGTTCTGATTATCAGGTGCCCGCTTGTCTACAAATGAAGCTACTGAGTGGTTTCCTTTTTTGTTTTCCATTTTTAAAGGCATTCACTTGTCTAAATATAACGTTGAATTTATTTATTTTTACTAGAAATAAACATTAAAAGTAGAATGTTCCCAGAATGAAGATGCGACATGTCTTTCCTATGATAATACCATTACAGAGACTGCTGAGTTCCGTCGGGTTCCGTTGAAAGTTAGTAAGCTCCCTACGTAATGGACATACACCGCAAAATATACAACTAATACAAGAATAGACACAAACACAAAAAGGCAAAAACCCTTTATGGGGGCGGAGGGGGGTCAATTGTGCCTCCATTCAAAAAAAATATTAGAAACAAAAACAAATATTCAGAGCCAGGCCAAGCCTGCAGAGCATGGACATTGTGACCATCAACCCAAGCAGAAAGTGCTGGGCTAGCAAAGTCACAATTTCAACCTGCTGTCTCACTCCTGCTGTACTTTGGTAACAGGCATGCCAAGTGCTTCCAATTTGCAGAAGAATGGCTGAGACCCACAAACCCTGTATGCTAG